AGTGTGTGTGTGTGTGTGTGCGCACGTGTGCAAATGCACAGGGGTGGAGGGGGGGTGCCAAATTGGGTCTTTGACCCGGATGAAATAAAGCCTAGTTTCACTCCTACCTACTGATCTCCGAGACTGGAAGCCTTTAGAATGAATTGATTTTAGAATGTATTTCAATTAATTGATTGTGATTTTATGTAAACTGAGTTACTCTTACTGTTGTTAGCTGCTCTGAGCCCGGCTTCGGCTGGGGAGGGCGGGATATACCGGTAAATAAAATTCTTTTATTATTATTATTATTATTATTTAGTTGTCTGAGCTTAATCCCAAGACCTTCTCCCTACAAAGTACATCCTTTGCCACGGCATTCATTTGGTTGCCTTCAAACTATATTTGCTGTTGCTCTTTGCTGTCTCTGGCAAACAGCCCTGACCCTAGCCCCCCAAAAAACTTTTGTTTCTGAAACTGAAAGCTGAGAAAAGGAAAACTGGACACAGAGTTCTGTCTCCACCAAAAATCATGTTTACAGCGCTCCTAGCAAAGGGAGAAGTAATCCATGCAAATATATGAATAACCAGACATCTAAAACTGTGGCAGTCCTCAGAGATGCTGCTTCTGAGCCCTGAAACCATGTCCTCCAAACCTGGACTCTGAAATGAGGAGCAGCTGTTCCCTAGATAGTGAAACTTGATGGAACAGATTGTACACAACCAATAAGAAGTAAGCTTTTCTTCACGAACACCGCCCCCCAAATCATCTTCATTCAAAGTATTTTTTAAAAAGCAATGTTATGTAATTTGTAAAACATGACCCTTCCAAAATGGACTTGCCACATGTAGAGACGTGCATTTTTCTATGTTGGCTGCTTTGTAAATTGAAAAAGGACTCGTAGAAACTCGTAGAAAAAGGACTCGTAGTGTGCTGCCCTCGGAGGGGTAGGGTCTCTTGAATCCCTCAGATTCCCAGAAGGAGATGGGCCAGGACCCCCATGTGATCCTTCCATGGCCAAGTTGTCTTTTTCCCCTGCACACCTGATGACCTGTATAGTGCTGAATTAGTATCAAAAAATGGAATGCTGCCACTGGTATGGAACTAGCAGCAGGTTTTTCACCAACCCTTGCATATGTCTGAGACAGACAATAATAATAATAATAATTTTATTATTTATACCCTGCCCATCCGGTGTACCAGATGGAGCTGGTAGACAGCTGCCCTGGACACAGAACTGACCTGCGCTTCCATGGACAGCTGTGAGTCCAAACACACAGACAGACATGTAAGATACCCCCGCCCCCTCCCAAAAATAGACGACTGGCCTCATGTTGTAAACTAGGGACAATGGAGAAGGTTGGACAGCATTTGCCCAAGCTATACCTGGTCAGTGAGCCCAGGTGCATGCCAACCCTAGCAGGAGCAGGGAAGTGAGGCCTTGCCTAGTTCTCACTGAGTTGGTAACGCTGTGTCTGGGTTATACGACTGCAGGTAGAGCCTTATGTGACACCATGTTTGCTCATAAGTCTATTGCACAGAAACCATAGTGTATAGATACACAAGTTGACTGCCTGTCTCCAAACACTGCGGTCGTCTGCAAGAGATTCCCACCAGGCAGGGCTGATGTTGCCAGTCTTCACGTCACGTGTGCAGACATCTTTGTAAACATTATATTACACATTGCTCCAAAGCTTAATGTCTTGGTTTATATATATATATATAAAATGCGCCAGAATCATTACTGAAAGTGTGTATATTTTTATTTCCAAAAAGATTATACATTTGAGAGACTTATTCCCTATCCATGCCACTGCTTTCATGTTCTTGTACATTTTCATATTTCAACAGATACAAGTTTTAGTTAATCGTGTGCTGTTCATCTCTTTAAAAATTCATTTTGAAACATAATATTTCAAGATATTTCTTAAGAACTATTTTTAATATAGATCTCTCATCAACAAATTAAAAGGTGTATTTGTTGGGGGTTGATGAGCCCAGTTTGCAAGCAGCTCTGCCTGCACCTAAGTAACAAATGGCTCAGGTTTGAGGAGCTGGGCTCCAGAGTTGTTGCTGTTGTTTGTTAATTAATTAATTAAATTGCGCTGTGGGTTAAACCACAGAGCCTAGGACTTGCCGATCAGAAGGTCGGCGGTTTGAATCCCCACCACGGGGTGAACTACCATTGCTTGGTCCCTGCTCCTGCCAATCTAGCAGTTCGAAAGCACGTCAAAGTGCAAGTAGATACCGTATTTTTCGCCCTATAGGAATCACCGTCCCATAAGGCGCACCTAGTTTTTTGGGGGGGAAATAAAGGGGGAAAATTATTTTCCCCCCCCAGGTGCGGGGCTGGGGCGGGGGAAGCCCGAGCTGCCCCCGACACCAGCCCCCAGAACAGGCAACTCTCCGCAAGCTGTGGGAGCCCGGCACTGGTCTCCCGCGCCTTGCGGAGAGCCGCGCGAAGTCTGGGCGCGCTGAGCTCAGCGCGCCCAGCCTTCGGCATGCAGGCAACTCTCCAGGCTTCAGCGAATGCCTGCATTCGCCCCATAGGATGCACACACATTTCCCCATCACTTTTGGAGGGGAAAAAAGTGCGTCCTATGGGGTGAAAAATACGGTAAATAGGTAAAAGGCGGGAAGGTAAATAGGTAAAAATCTGGCAGGAAGGTAAAAGGCGTTTCTGTGCGCTCCTCTGGTTCACCAGAAGCGGCTTAGTCATGCTGGCCACATGACCCGGAAGCTGTACGCCGGCTCCCTCGGCCAATAAAATGAGATGAGCGCCACAACCCCAGAGTTGGCCACGACTGGACCTAATGGTCAGGGGTCCTTTTACCTTTTTACCTCTCTTCATGGGACTAGATAAAGTCCTACTGCTTCCTTGTGTCACCTGACCTCTGCTGTGCAGAAAACTGCAGTACCAACCTATACTGGTGCTGCAGTATAGTAGATTGCAGAGGCAATGCAATAGATAGTTAATAGAGAGCACCTAGGAGACTAGGGTTCAAACTCTTCTCAGCCACAAAGCTCAATGGGTGACCTTGGGCCAGCCACCATCTCTCAGTCTAATTTAGATTACAGGGTTGTGGTGAAGACAAAGTGGATGGGCAGGGACTATCTACACTGCCTTGAGCTCTTTGGGGAAAGGTGGGATATATAAATATAGCAGGTAATTAAAATAGAGAGCAAGCTGTCGCTCCCTTGGCTTGCATGTCAGAGTCAATGTGATGCAGCAGTTGCGAGAGTCAGACTAGGATCTGGGTGAGTAGGGTTCAAATCATCATTTAAACACAAAGCTCACTCAGTAACCGTGCACTAGTCCGTATCTCCCCTTCTCACAGGGTTGTTGGGAGCATAAAATGTTGGGTATTTGTGCGGAGGACCATGTACACCAACTTGAGCTCTTTGGAGGAGAGGCAGTGTAGGAATGAAGCTCAATTGGAGAAGGTTTGCAAATGGAAATTTGGTAACAGCCTGTTATGAAGGACCGGGTCACACCAAACCATATATAAGGTGTTGATGGTGGAAAAGGAGGAGTCTTTCCACAGTCCTGCCCCTCCCTCCTCTGCTTCTTTTTGCTATTTGCCTCCCCTCCCCCTTGGTAACTTTTCTTTGGGTAATCAGTTCTTCTGTGGCCCACGTTACATTAAAAAATCATTAGCTGTGATAGATTTTCATGTCTGATTATTTCCCCTCATATTTAACAAAACTTGCACTCCTTCTTGTATTCTGATGTAACCATGCAGAGATTTGAAGGAGTCATTGCCACATATGGAGCTCTGTAAAGATTAACTGTCTCCCCCTGCTTTTGATGGATGTACATGAGATAATTTTGGCGCAGTGATAAAGTTGGTTAATCTCCCCTCTTTTTCTCTCTCCTCCTTTTTCTTCCAAGTTTTGGATGAGTCACCTGCTTCCATTTAAAAGTGATTCACATTTGTTTTAAAAACGCCCGGATAATATCCCGTTTACTAGAAAATCCCACGCCAGCCGGCATGATGCACACTCTGCATTCCAAAAATACTGGTTGAGGAGGAGGCAAGGCGCTGTTATTTCCCCCCCAAGCCCCCAGCTTTCCTCCCTGCGTGTTGAAAATGCCGGAAGGAGAAGGTGCTGCATCCTGAAGCTTTTCTTTTATTTATATTTTTTTATTGGAACTTGCAAAACTGAAGGGTGTGTCAGAAAGAGTGGTGATTCTAATGATTGATTGATTGATTGATTGCATGGTGGCCAGATAGATTTTCTTCTGCAGGCTCTGAGTGTTCTCTCTGCAGACAACTTCCGTCCCTCTCATCAGCTGCTAATTACAACCTGAGCTACATATGAACAAGCCCAATCAATCAGTTGAGAACACACACACAGGTCCCCAACAATGGAGAGCAAAAGAGAGACACCGCTATATATAAGGTGTCACATGCGCTGCTCTACCCCCCAGCGTGGCCTGGCTCAGTGCTCCTCCCCATAAGCGTTGCTCCTTCCTGGGAGAAGAAGAAGAAGAGTTTGGATTTTATATCCCGCTTTATCACTACCCGAAGGAGTCTCAAAGCGGCTAACAATCTCCTTTCCCTTACTCCCCCACAACAAACACTCTGTGAGGTGAGTGGGGCTGAGAGACTTCAGAGAAGTGTGACTGGCCCAAGGTCACCCAGCAGCTGCATGTGGAGGAGCGGGGAATCGAACCCGGTTCACCAGATTATGAGTCCACTGCTCTTAACCACTACATCACACTGGGTCTGGAGAGGAATGCTGGACCAGGGTGCCCTGGGAGCACCTGCTGGGGGCTCCTGCTTCGTGCTTCCTCAAAAATCCATGCTCAGGGCCACAGTCCCTCCCATGCTACATCCCGATCCGCAACAAAAACCTGCCCCTAGAAGCTTACAGTCTACATTTCAACCAGGAGGGAGATAAAAGGGAGATGGGAGAAAGGCAGTGACGCAGGTGGCAAAAGATAAACAGGAGCAAATGCAGTTAAGCCCTTCCAACAGTTTCATCTAAATCAACCTTCCTTTAGGTCACAGTGACTTGTGTAAACGGAAAAGGGTACTAAAAAGCCACACAGAGCATATTATTCATGCATGGATGTTTCTGGAATCAGCTGTCACTACTAGCAACCCACAAGCTGCCGCTGTTCCCTTCCGCAGGGCATGTGACTTAACTCTAGTGGCCTAGGCTAATGGCGCATTACTCTGTGCATGCCATCATATGTATCCGTTAAACAACCGGAGGCCATACAGAGCAAAATCCAACGCTAATCAGTGTTAGTGGCTCCCTTCTCCCTCTAAGCATGCAGCTAAAAATCTCTAGAAAGGCTCTCGTGGAAGGGTGGGATATTGGGTCTTCGGTATTTTGCAGTTTTGTATGTTGCATTTAATTTTCTGCCTTGGATGCTTGTGGAAGAAAATAGAGGTATACACTGTGGTGTAGTAGGGAGGGCCAGGGGGCCATGGCCCCAGGCGCACAATGAGGGGGCATGACTCCCTGCGTGCACCTCCTCTGCTCCTGCCCACCAGCTGATGGGCGGCCCTGTGCGCTGGGCAAGGGTGAGGAGTACAGAGTGAAGAGCACCCTCTGCCCCCCGCCTGGTACGTGGGCATCAAGGGAGCCCATCAATGGTGGGTCTGAGTGAGCATGGAGAGAGCCCTCTGTGTTTGCCCAGTCTCTGCCACTGACAGGCAGGTTCTTGCATGCTGGGCTGGGACAGGGTGTGGAGGGTGCTCTGTTCCTGCAGAGGGTGGCGCTCACACACACCAGCCCCAGGTGCATGGGGGGGTGCACGATGCCCCTGGGTATACATATGTTAAATAAAATGAACATGGATTGAATTTTGATTCCAACTCCAGTAGGAATGCAAGGAACTTTATTTTCTTTCAAAGAAATCACTACGCTTTCTTAGAAAACCTGAAAACATTTTTTGGTTCTGTTTTCTACATGGGTGCTATTTCTTCTTCTTCTTCTTCTTCTTCTTCTTCTTCTTCTTCTTCTTCACATCTTATCTTACTCGGTGCACTTGTAATTATGTACTTTTTATCTTTCAATAAAGAATATAAAAGAAAAAAAACCTGTGGTTGGTTGTTCTTCCTGTCCCCTGTGCAGCCCCTCATTGAGAATTGTCCATGTTCTAGGTTGGGGCAGGGGGGCCTGTAGTCCTCTAGATCAGCCTTTCTCAACCTGTGGGTCCCCAGATGTTGTTGAACTACAACTTCCATCACCCCTAGCTAGCAAGGCCAGAGCTCAGGGATGATGGGAGTTGTAATCCAACAACATATGGGGACCCACAGGTTGCGAACCGCTGCTCTAGATATTGGTTGGACTCCAACTCCCATCAGCATGACTAATGGTCAGGGGTGATGGTATCTGTATTGGTACAACTTTATCTGGAGGGCTCCAGGTTCCCCCACCCTGTCTGAGAGCTTCTTTCAATGCTGTAAAGCATTTTTCTTTTCCTCCTTACCTGTCACAGACTGGTTGGACACAGAAGAATGGTGGGAGGAACCAGCTGAGAAACCCTCCCCCCACCAGGGAGAAAGGCTCAGAGCCTGGGGATCAGTAGTGGGACAAAGATGAGTGGTCAGAGGGAGAAGATTGGGAGCAGGAGATGTCAGAATCTGAAGAGGTAACAGGGCTTAGTGAGCTGGGGCAGAAGTGGAAGCAGGAGAGGAGTCAAGCCAAGAGACACAGATGAGTCCGGAAGCTCCCTTTCTCCCTTGTCTCCTGGAACCAGAAATGGTATGAAAAGAGCTGAGGAGAGATTCGTGACACAGAGGGATAGTCTCCAATTGCTTGGGGGAAACCCTTAGGCAGCTGTGGGGAAGTGGGGACCTTCAGGCTCCACAACTGCTTCACGAGGGCAAGACCTGCAGGAGACGAGTTGCTGCGCTCATTAGGCCTGCCACTCCTCTGCAGCTCCTGTTCTTGCTAATAAAGAGTTAACACCAACTTGCTCGGTGTGATTTACTGCTGGCTTGCGCCTGTCATTGACCCTGTGAATATCTCCTCAGTTTGCTCACAGCCGAGGGTGGTAGTGTATCATGTTGCTTGGAAACTGCTGGGTATGGTGTGTCGTGGGGGGTTATGAAAGCTCCAGCTATGGTATTTGGTTTGATCAGTGATGGGTAGATCACACCTTCCTGTTGCAGCGGTGGTCCTCGGAGACCTTATTGTGTGGCTCTGTAATGAAGACAAATTACCCTCCAGCATAGCATCTATTCAGTTATGCTAATTGATTCTTGGCCTCATTAGCCTCCAGGGTCAACTTAGCATAGAAGGCACTAATGGATGACTTTCCCAGACTGTTGTCAGATATCACTCAGTTGGGAGCTGAAAAATTATTTCACATTTTGGACTGCATCAGGTTTCTATGAGCCAACCTCAAGAATTTTGGCTCCAGCCCTATGTAGATGGCAGTGAAGGGTGAAGATTAAGATAATTAATGATAAGTCACACTGGCTTTCTCACCTGTGGTGTGAGTCTGGCTTCTGCCCATCTTCACTGTTTGTGTTGCAGGTAGGCAGACAGAAAATCAAATATTGCATCAGCTTATAGCCTCCCTTCATGTTTCAAACAGGTTACTTAGAAATAGCAGTTTTTAAATCGCTGCACACATTTATCCACTTACACGGTACTTTTTGCCTTGCTTAAAGAATAAAACTTGGTTTTTAACTCTGAGCTTGGAATGTGCCTTATGGGGCAGTCAAGACTCAGCAGGTGGTGCTGTCTATTGTTGCAGAGTTGTCTGGAACCATGAGGGCTAGGAAATTTCCATTTGGGGAGCAGCAGGAGCTTAGCAGAAGAGTGTGCAGCTGCGTGCAGAAGGCCTCAACCCCAGTAATTTCATTTTTAGTTTGTATTCCACCCTTTCATATACCACATTACTGTATTTAAGGTGGCCTACAACCTATAGAGGGACCTGGGTGGTGCTGTGGTCTAAACCACTGAGCCTAGGGCTTGCCGATCGGAAGGTCAGCGGTTTGAATCCCCATGAGCACCCGTTGTTCGCTTCCAGCTCCTGCCAACCTAGCAGCTCGAAAGCACATCAAAGTGCAAGTAGATGAATAGGTACCGCTTTGGCGGGAAGGTAAAGGGCGTTTTCGTGCACTGCTCTGGTTCGCCAGAGGTGGCTTAGTCATGCTTGCCACGTGACCCAGAAAAACTGTTTGCGGACAAACGTCGGCTCCCTCGGCCTGTAAAGCGAGATGAGCGCCGCAACCCCAGAGTCGTTCGCAACTGGACTTAACTGTTGGGGTCCTTTACCTTTTACAACCTATAGAAATGACAAAAGTATAGCAAAATCACATTGCCACCCTATAACAGTATATAACTTTAATTAAAAATAAATTTACAAAATTGCAGAAATCTTATTTCGCATAATAGCATTACAAGTTAATAAAATATATGCAAACAAAAGAAGCCCCATCAGTTGCAAGAAACTGAATAACTGGGAAGAAGCATCTCTAGATAAAAGAATCTCATGTTGGTAGCAGAGGCTTAGAAAAGACGTGATAGCTGCTATCAGTCTGAGCAGACAATAACACTGAATAAGGCAACATAGGGGCAGCTGTGTATGTTGGTATGGATATGTTGTTTTCTGTTTCAAAAATATCAATATAGAATTCCTCAGCCTGGGGTTTAAGCTGCTAGATTTTGTGGATGCAATGGTGGCGTGTTGCTTGTTTTAGTATCTCTCTCTAACAACCCCCCAAACACTGAAAACAAAATGAAGTCCATGTGCAGGTGATGTCCACTTTGCGCATGTTCAGTTGATGCGTGGCCACTGACGCATGGGTCATTTTGGACCTGGAAGAGGGTGCATGGGGTGGACCAACTTGGCTTATGCACACTCTGCTGATGCGCACAAATGCCCAGAACGCAACCCCTGAACAAAAGGGGAGTTGCCTGTATAGAAATTCAGAGATCACAATCTCAACAAGCCACACATAAAAAAGGAGGCTGAACAATCCCTTTGGCAAATGATAGTATCTGTATACAAAGTCATACCTAAATTGGCAGCAGCTACCGCAAATACGGCAGCCGCCTAAGTTTATCTGTTTTTCTCTGTTATTTAATGAAGAGGCAATTGTATGCTGGATGGGCTAGCTCAAAACCTTCTTTATATTGACATCAGTTGACCTTTTCTGACAAAGTTATTGTGATGATGAAGCAAGCAGTAATTAGATCCCTCGGTGGTGCCCATTGCACAAACATTCCTAATGCTCCTCACAGCCTGCATTATCTGAAACACAAGGTTGTAAAAAGCTCATGAAGGAAAGTTTGCATCCCTCACAAAAATGCTTCTCACTAGCCAAAGAAAATGTTTTTCAGTAGTGAAGTTTCTAATTACCTAGTTTGGCAAAGGGATATAACCAGCTTGTAACACTTGGCTGTATTTGCACTTTTCGGCAAAACTGCATGTTAAACAAGCCTCTGAGCATGTTAGGCCAGATTTCAGCAGACCAGGGGCCCAAAGGCAGCTATTTTGGAGGTTGTTGTTGTCGTTTAGTCGTGTCCGCCTCTTCGTGACCCCCTGGACCAGAGCACGCCAGGCACTTCTGTCTTCCACCGCCTCCCGCAGTTTGGTCAGGCTCATGTTTGTAGCTTCAAGACCACTGTCCAACCATCTCGTCCTCTGTCGTCCCCTTCTCCTTGTGCCCTCCATCTTTCCCAGCATCAGGGTCTTTTCCAGGGAGTCTTCTCTTCTCATGAGGTGGCCAAAGTCTGGGAGCCTCAGCTTCAGGATCTGTCCTTCCAGTTAGCACTCAGGGCTGGTTTCCTTAAGAATGGATGAGTTTGATCTTCTTGCAGTCCATGGGACTCTCAAGAGTCTCCTCCAGCACCATAATTCAAAAGCATCAATTCTTCAGCGATCAGCCTTCTTTATGGTCCAGCTCTCACTTCCATACATCACTACTGGGAAAACCATGGCTTTAACTATACGGACCTTTGTTGGCAAGGTGATGTCTCTGCTTTTTAAGATGCTGTCTAGGTTTGTCATTGCTTTTCTCCCAAGAAGCAGGCGTCTTTTAACTTCCTGGCTGCTCTCACCATCAGCAGTGATCATGGAGCCCAAGAAAGTAAAATCTCTCACTGCCTCCATAGTTCTTTGACATTACTGTCTTATCTTAGATCAGGGGTGGGAAGCCTCTGTGGTCCTCTACATATTCTTGGACTCCGGCTCCCATCAACCCCATCTTGTGTGGCCAATAGCCAGGGATGCTGGGAGTTGTAGTTCAGCAGCATCTGGAAGGCGGCATATTCTCCATGCCTGCCCTAGGTGAATCTCTCTTCACGAGCTCTTAAAAAAAAGGAAAAGCATGATCAAGCCGTCTGACCAAGCAGCCTTTTATGGGTGAGTATGTATTTGGGTGAATTTTATCAGCCTGCTGAATAAACATTTGCTGAGATAAATCATAATTACTGAGCCAACTCTGATTCAAGATGAGGAAGGTTCAGCCATCGCAAGTTTTCAATCAGTGAATCCTTTTGCATGCATTGTGGACTTCAGCTGCATCTTGGCAACAGTTGAACTAGACTAATAAAACTACAAGCATGAAATCACCACAGTTGTGTGTGACCCTCAAGTAAATAATATTCTCTTCATTAAGGTTGGGCAACCCACGCCAGTGCCTTCTGAAGGACGGGAGTTCACCAATATACAGTGCCTTGTGTAATTGCCCCCAGTCACTCAAGTGTACTTCACTTGAGTTCCCATGTTAAATGCTTTCCAAACCCATCTAGAAATCTAGCCACATGACCTTCAACATATGGATGTCACCTTTTTTCTTAGCAAAGAGATTCTGCACATGGTCTTCACATTTCTTTTTAAAAAATGATGGCCTAGTTCTTTAAGTCTTTGAAGGAATTAGTAAGACCTGGTGCTGACTGTTAGAAGGAGTGAAATATTTCATCATTTGGATGATCAAATCCTGGCTAAGTTAGCCAAGATACACACAAGCTCTGTGTCTGTTCCTCCCTTGGCACAGGTAGGGAAAACAAACCAGGAAGACACAGTTAATTGTAGCTTCTCATATATGCGCAAACTGGGAAACTGTGGTGAATAGCTTCCCAACAAGCCAAGGAGCTTGGGTGCACCTTAAACCAGAATTTGATTGTCCAAACCAGGTCAGTGTTCAAAACAGGTTGCTACAAAGCTCATCAGCTTGCTATCACCAAATGTTAATAAATGCAGCCCTCCACCTCCCTGGTTACTGAAGACTCAGTAAACCATAGCAGCCAGTTCCTATGGGCCAAGGTCCCTTTGCCCCCCACCCGGCATAAAATATTCGAGGGGGTCAGGCCCCCCTAAAGTTGAGGGGGATTCACATTCAAATGGTGTGTGAGAGCCATGTCATGTGATCAGTTATACATTTTGTTACTATTTTTATTATATATTTTCTGTGTTTCATATTGTAATTTTATGTTGTGAAGTGCCCTGAGATCTATGGATGTCGGGCAGTATACAAATTTAATTTAATTTAATACAATACAATAAAATAAATAACCTACCACATTGCTGGATTAACCTGTTAAAAGCATATGGAAACCTTGCACAGCATAATTCCCATATAATGTGGCAGAAACTGTCAGGCAATCTGTTGCATTTCATTTACTCAAGTTCAAGCCAATCACTTACAAGAAAAGATCAACTGCCATCCTAACTCATTGAATAGTCTGAAACGTAATTGCATCCACATATCCCACACTTGTCCAGACAGAGCATTCACTGAGTGAGCATCATTGCATCTTATAGGAGAATGGGGCAGTCGGTGATGGTTTTGCTTTGTTGGCCCCTGAGCCAGGTGTTGCTAACATGTTGCTCTCCAGATGACGATGAACTTAGCTCCCTTCATCCTTGAGCACTGGGCATGCTGAGTGGATATGATGGGAATCGGAGACCAACAGCATTTGGCAGCATTCACCTAAGCCATGGGTAGGCAAACTAAGGCCCAGGGACTGGATCCTGCCCAATTGCCTTCTAAATCTGGCCCACGGACGGTCCAGGAATCAGCTTGTTTTTACATGAGTTTTTACATGGGGCCTGCCTGGTGTTTTTACATGAGTAGAATGTGTGCTTTTATTTAAAATGCATCTCTGGGTTATTTGTGGGGCCTGCCTGGTGTTTTTACATGAGTAGAATGTGGGTTATTTGTGGGGCATAGGAATTCATTCTTTTTTTTCTTTTCAAAATATAGTCTGCCCCCCACAAGGTCTGAGGGACAGTGGACCGGCCCCCTGCTGAAAAAGTTTGCTGACCCCTGACCTAAGCGATAAAGGGTGCCTGAGTGCAGTAGTGTTGCAGAAAGATGTGGGGGAGCTCTTCAACTCTAAGAGGGAGCAGGATTCGCCATAGGCTCTGCCATTCTTTTGCAGAGGGCTGCAGATGGAGTGTACCTTTCCCCCCTAGCTATGATGGATTGATTGTGACAGCCAGACATGCATTGCGGTCTCTCTATTGATTATGCATTTTCTTCATGCACGACTTTGCCATCTGTGATGGGGATCAGAAGAGCTCTGGCTGTGATGGGCAATGGCAGGCATTCAGCCTTGCTGAAGGTGCCGTGGAATCCAGTTCTGCTGTGTCTCCCCTTTTTTGCCCTCTTTCTCATGTCAGGTCTGCTCCGCTAAAGGGGGTTTCAACCTTGTGGTTGGTGCGCTTTATATAGTACTGCTGACCTTGTACCATTTCAACCTTCAAACTTTCTTTGTTGTTACCAAAGTCTCACCCTTTGACTCTGCTCCCTAATTCCTCTGCCTTTCTGTAACTGAATTGTAACCAGGCCAGAGTATGCATAATTAAAACAATTGCATACAGTGGTACCTGTACTTACGGACGCGATCCATTTTGGGGTGCCGTTCGCACCCCAGAAAGTCGGGAAGTAGAGTGCCGTGCATGCACAAAGCGCAATAGAGCGCTTCTGCGCATGCGCGAAGCACGCAGATTGCTTCTGCGCATGCATGAAACGTGCAGATTGCTTCTGTGCATGCATGTGCAGCGTTTGTAACCTGAAAAGCTGCAACGTGAAGCAAACGTAACACGAGATACGACTGTATTCCTTCCCTGTTCAGTCCTGCCTTCACTTCTTCTGTTGTTTCCCCTGTGTCAGATTATAGATTGCAAGTTCCTCGGGGCAAGGACCTGTACTGTGTGCACTGATGGCGCTAAATAGTAAATAGGAGCCCCATTGATGAGGCTTCCATGCTGCATTCCTTGCAATGTTCTGAGATACTGAGAGTAAACTACAAGTCAACCTACAGGTTGCATTAATTGCATGGAGAGCAGCCAAAAGTCTGCTATTTGGCACTCAGTATGAAACGATGGAGAGGGCAAATAACAAGATCCCCCTTTAGAAACAAAACTTAGTTTAACGTGTAAAATCTGACCTATAAATCCAGCTTCCCCTCCCCCAGTTGGGCAGATGCTACGGAAGCAGCATTGAAAGGCGTGAGCTGTAATAAAGCCTCGGGAAAGCGGGGAAAAATTACTGTCCTCTTTTGCTGCAGCCTGGGCAGCACTGGAGAGGTTAGCAATTTGCTGTGCAGCCCTGCCCAGGCAATTTGTGCTGTGCATTGTGCTGGCTTTCTATTTATATTGTATATCATCAAATCCATTTTGCTTTTTAGCTTTACCGCTCAACACAGTGTAGAGCAAATTAACCCTCCAAAAAGGCTGTTCGGTTGTCTGTAGTGTCTTCCACTCAGCCATTTATCAAAGACATACCTGCTTTGGCTGTCTGGTAGTGCAGTCGGGTTATGACAGCACTCAAGAAGACCTAATTTTGCAGCATAGAATCATATTGAAACAACCTCTGATTACAAGGAATTTACAGCAAAAGCAGTGGAGAGGAGAGGAGAGCAGAGGAAAATGGGATGGGAAGGGAAATAGTAAGACAGAAAAGGCCCATCTCACTTAGCTTCCGCTTCAAGGCAGGAATGTCTTGAACATCCCTCTCCAGTCCACCCAATAAACTTGCACATTCCAGGCCAGCACTGTGTCACTTCCAAAGAGCTTGTTGCTGTGGAGAAACTTTTGCCTGTGTGGGGAATTGTTCTGGATGTTCAAACACGTCCCAAATCGTCAGTGCCCTTCTTAAATTGTGGTGCCCAGAAAATCTGAATGCAGGCAGAACTTTGCTTCAGGATTCATTGAAGGTACAGTTGAGCTCTGGTTACCTAGTGAAGGCATATGAGACTATCACCTTGCTGAAGCTCAGAAAGCCTGGCAGGCAGGGTGCAAGAAAGGTGGGATACAAATGAAATAAATCGTTTTTCATTTTTGCATAGTAACAGAATATCAGCCTCTAGGATAGTGGTGGTTCTCAAACTTTGGGCTGGCTGCTCTTGGGGGTGGGGCCAGCCCACCCTTGAGGCACAGAGAGGTGAGGACCTCAGGTGGCAGGAGATCTGGCCTCTATTGAGTGAATTGCCCGCTGCTGCTACTGCCCTCCTCAGCAGCTGCTCCCCGATGCCACCCCTACAGTGGCACTGCTGGTCTCCTCCCACCCTTGTTCCTGATGTTGATCTTCACTCATCCCTTCTTCCTGTTAGGATGTTTCCGTTCCACCTTAAAAGGGAGCAGGCTTTGTGAGTCACACAGCCTGCGTATTTCCTGTTTCACAGGATGTTTCTGTTGTGTCTTTGCTTTCGTTCTCTGTGTCTGGAGACACTGAAGCAGGCAGTCATGTTTTTTTGTTCTGATCAACGCTGAATAAAACTTGTAAATAATGCTCTCCTGAGTGCGTCTTTCGCTGTGCATTATCTGCTGATAGAGCGTGCATGAGCTCGAGAATGTGGCAGGCTATTTCTGGAGCTCGTGTCGCTAATTGCTGATACTGTATCTACGGGAGATCAATGGACGTCCGGAGACGGCTTGGGGGCCATGATGGACTTTGTCTCCCTGGCAGTATCCCAACACTTCCCAGGGGGTGACATTTTTTGCTTTGCCTCTGGTGCCAAAATATATTGGGTTGGCCCTGCTTGGGGCGTGAAAAGACAGTGCAGAGATCCAAGGATTGAGACCATCCTGAGGTGGGGATCCTCCTCAATGTTTCATCTTGAATGTGACTCCTGACATGATATGGGAAGGGAGATGCCTCTTTGCTTTGTCTAGTGGTGTTTCCTCATGCATAGAGTTAGAAATGTCTTGCCTGCTCCTCCTTTTAAAGCCAGTGCTGTTTTCAAGCCCTTATCCACTGATCTGTGCACATTACTGTACTCAGCACTTTTCTGAATTTCTCTGCCAAGGAACAGATGGTTGGTCCAGATTGGGGGCCAAAGTTAGACCAAGTTTCGAAGGAGAGGTTAGCCTCCAAAGGTTGTGAGAAAATGATTTTTGTGGCCGGGGTTTTAGCATCCTCTGAAGCAGCAGCTTGACTTTAGGAGAACAAGCAACAAATCCCTTCTCTTGGATCTTGGTTCTGCCTAGGGTTGCCACACGTCCGGAATTTCCTGGACATAACCAGTATTTGGCCCTCGTAAACAGCATCCGGGCAGAAATTACGAAATACAGCAACCCTATGCATGGCAGGCTTTTGATGGGCTTTTCACCTGCCTTTGAAGTGAATTCCCATGAGTTCTGACTGGTGGGAGCAGCAGAGGCAAGATTTTTAGAAGAATAAGCTCCAAATAATGGGAGCAAATAGGATTGGACCACAATGTGTGTTGTGTAAGTGTGTAATCCAGGGGTCAGCAAACTTTTTCAGCAGGAGGCTGGTCCCCTGTCCCTCAGACCTTGTGGGGGACTGGACTATATTTTGAAAAGAAGAAGAAGAAGGAATTCCTATGCCCCACAAATAACCCAGAGATGCATTTTAAATAAAAGCACACATTCTACTCATGTAAAACACGCTGATTTCTGGACCGTCCGCGGGCCGGATTTAGAAGGCAATTGGACCAGATCCTGCCCCTGGGCCTTAGTTTGCCTACCCATGGTGTAATCCCTTGCTTGCTGCACCTCTGATCTGAGTTGTACCCTTGATATGTAAATGTGGATAGTCACATACATACGTGGCAAAAGTATACATGGCAGCCGTGTGCTTCTTGCCTGTCAGTGGCTGCAGGAGATTCTGAATGATAAATGTCACAGGAGGAGGAAGGTGGGAGGAGCAAGAACAAGCCTTTGAGTAAGCTTAAGGAGTTTCCTTGCACTTGATTGATTTCTCAGCAGAGCAGAGCTGTGCATTTGCCATCCATCACCCTGATCAATTGGCCCAGCAGTTCTGGGAGACTGCTTGTGTTGCAGACCTCCCTCAAGATAAATTACCAGGAGTCCAAGGCAACAGCCCCACCACCCACGGCCTAAAAAACCTTTTTAGCCCTCAAATCAATCGCAAACTGTTTTCTTCCTCAAGCCTCGGCTATAAAGGCACTTCCTTTTTTCGTTTTAATAACTGGATAAGCATGTTGAAGGACTAACAACAAGTAGGATTTCTTTGTCTGTAGAAGGTGGGAATCTGCTCCCTCCCTCCCTTCTTCAGAACGATACTGAAGTTGATTTCTAGACCCCAATTTCT